AAGAACTGGTTTCATAACTATATAACTTGTTTATTTTATTTTGCTATATTTAGATAGTCAGGTTCATCTTCGAAATGTTGAAGCACCTGTTGAATCACTGGCAAATACATGGACAGAAGCCACCTTGCGTAGTTACTGATGGTTCTTTTGGTTGTGCAGACTTGTCTGCCAAAAATGAATGTTCTGTTAACCATGTAAGTTCAGTATATCAAGATTCTGACTCGCGTGTTCGTTCGTCTGAGAGTGAGTATAAAATCGGTCAATTGAAACCTGGTTTCGAAGATATATATAGATCAGAATGCTGCATCTGTGGTACCAATTCTCCCACATTATCTTGTCAAATTACGCGTCCACTTGTTCACATCGACACTGCACCACCTTTACTTCGACGCGAGACTTCCTTATACTCCAAAGAGAAAATGGCCCCCGATGGAGATCCTCTTAACGTCTCCCTAAAATCTTCTCTCGACGAAAGTCTGACGAATGATATCGAACTTACCAATGACGACATGAAGAGTTCATTTAGTAACCAAATTAAAACCGCTTATGAACAGTTAAAAATTAAAAGGGCGAAAAACGCAAACACTTCCGAAACTTTTGATCCCGTATCATCTGAAACTGAAGATAGTGGCGTTCAAATGGTTAATTCTTGCGCATCCAGCTTAGAAAACGTAGAAAGTGCAATAACTGGCACAATAAGTTACTCTCCACACTCCAAAGGAATAGGAAGAATACATCTAGTTGAACCAATTATTTCTATGAAACAGGATCGGACTTATCCTTCACACGAAATTTGTAAAGGTCACGAAAATCTTGAAAGTTACTTTCATTCCTCATTAGACAGGGTAAGAGAAAACCAATCATCAAATTGTATTATACCAAATGATCAGCCAAATATTATACATAAAATCGTGAAATGTGGGACGAAAGCAGAAACGTTGAAGGATATGTCGTCGGATAATATTATAAAACATCCTTCAGAAAATGTACCAGGTCTCAACGAAAATTCAGAAGTTGAAACTGTACTTAGGTCCGATAACAAGAGTTTAAATGATAGCCACCAAACTTCCACTGGAGTTACTCGCGAAAGTTTTACCAGTCAGTGTAAGCAAATGTCATGTTTCAAATCAGAAATGAATAGAATTCTGGACACAGACTTCCATCATAAATTTACTAAGTGTAATCCTGAGCTACCTCAACAGAGTTCATCTGTGTTTACACCAAACTCTTCACTCTCTAAACCTCCAATGCTGGATACTAAAGGTCGAGAAAAGTTAAATATTGCTAACGACAGCAAACATTTAACAAAACTTGCTAACCAACTCCAATTAAAGGAACATTCAACTCTAAGTCAGGAAAGAAACAACAACAGTCAAACTTCGCAAAGAACAATCTCAATTTTAAAAACAACATCAAACAACAGCATTTTGAGTGACTGTGTACTAGAATGCCCTGCTTGTAATCAATCGTCCATTCGCCACAAACTTTCAAGTCGGGAATTAGTTTCAGAAGACATGAATGTATCGAAAAGAGAGTCAGTATTTCCAAATAGTGTCAATTCTGAGGATTCGTCCTGTAGACTTGACAATGTAGATAGTAGAAATAGTATTCAAGAGGACCGGAAATCAATATCTGGTAGAACACCACAGTATTCACGAAACATATCCACTCTTAAGCTGTGTAAAAAATGTGAGATCCACAAGACGGACAAAGAGTCTAAACAATACGAGGACTACTACAGCAGCCTTCGAGAAACGAAAAGTCGGAAACGTCCTGCAGATTTGAATGGATGTCGTTATTGTGAAAAACAACCAAATCGATATTCAAGCACAAAATCCAAAATTAAAAGCAGGTCCTGGAATGCTCGCAAACTTGATAATTGTAGCATTTTTTTTAATGAACCCACGATGGTTAATTTGGTAGATTCTAAATGTAAGGACAGAGAACATCATTCCCATGAATCATCAGCTAAATGCATTAGGGAAATGGAAAACGATATTGTTTTTGATATTCATCCTGCTTCTGGCACCAACCAAGAAAGAGTGTTGTATCGATATCCTTGTGCTACTCTTAGATGCTCCAAGGAGTGTCAAAAACCTGATGTACATATGAGAAGGTGTGTTTGTGGTTATCGAGAATCTACCAAAAGCAGGAATCAGTGGAGTGATACACTCTCACATTGTTCTTGTAGTTACCATACCGATCGCAATGATGGTCATTACTGCCATGCAAAGTTTGACAAAAGAAAAAGGCGGAATATCAACAAGCTCGGCCCGAGACTAGAAGACAAAGGAGTTGGTACTGAATCGCAACGACATGGAATAGATTATACTTCTATTCTTTTAGAGCCTTCTATACTTCGTATGGATTATATGCGTAGAAACGAAGATGAAAACTCACTTCCTTCTATAGAAGATATTCTGGCTTACCGAAGGTTCCAAACCGATACCCAGATTCAACATGTTAACTCTCCTTTTCAAGTATCTCAGGTAATATTTTCAGAAATTTTAAGTTAATATAATCATCATAATAGATTCGATACCATTACCAATTTAACATTAATAAATACAAATTATTATCGGCTGTAAAAAAATAAGCATTCCCCTCGAAATCTCAAAGCATTTTTAATTGTTCTAATGTCGAAGCAGCCAAATATTTATATTTGAATATCAGATGATGGCTATAAAATAAAGAAAGAAAGAAGCAATGGTAAAATAATTTATATGGATTTTTGTTTGTTTGTTGTTAAGCACAAAGCTATTAATTATTTATATGTGCAGTAGATGTTGCGAGTAAAGAAACTCGATATTAAGTGTCACAAACCAACAGACTTGCCACTAGTCCCCCGGTGGAACAGCGGTAAATCCGGGTTCGATTCCCCGCGATGTACACAGCAGATAGCCCATTGTGGCTTTGCTTTATCAAACTTGCCACTAGGAGAGGGGGGCAGTTTATATGGAAAATACACTGCTAGCAAAAATGTTTTCCTACTGAGGTTGTGAACAAAATTTGATGTACTGAAAGCACTTTCAAACAAATGAGGACAAACGCCATGAATTAGGTTTACTGGGCTGCTGGTTGCAGAATAAAAATGTGGCAGGAAGGTGAGGTACGTAATGAGACGGAACAAAATTTAATTTTCTGATTATCTATTTATTACACGAGGAAGACAGTTCGTTAACTTTTTTTGCTAATAAAATTTAAACAAGGAAAGTGTACAGCACAATGTACAAATGGTGACAGTTATAAACGACTGAAAAGAACCTAGCTTCTGTAACGAAGAACACAGACGAACTTCTTCGAATATCTATCAACATATTATTATTATTATGAAAATAGCACGTAATATAAAGGAAGATATTTTAGTAATCCAGAATAAACGTTGATTTAAAGGATTGATCTTGGTATGTTTTGAATTCCGCTCAAAGATATTCGAGGGCTATCTATGCTAGCCGTCTCTAATTTAGCAGTGATAGACTAGATGGAAGGCAGCTAATCAAAATCACCCAACGCCAACTCTTGGGCTACTCTTCTACCAATGAATAGTGGGATTGATCATAAAATTGTAACGCCCCCACTGATGAAAGGGCGAGCATGTGCGGTGATTCGAACCTGTGATTCGCAGATAGCGAATCAACCGATCTATATTTAAGGATTAGTTTTTTACATATGTCGTCACCAGAAGGCGTAATTAAACGTGTTGCATGACCGTTGAATGCACCATAGAATGCTACGCTAATTATGATGAAACGTTGTGTCATGTCACTTATTCATTTCAATCCAATCTGAACTGTTTTTTATATACTAGATTATTAAACTCGGGAGATCTTTTATGCACATGGATTAGTTACATTTACTTTAAACAATACAGTAAACTCGTGCTGATTTTTTGAAACGCGTGAAATCAGTGTTATGACTTTTGTATTATATTCATAAACTTGAAATCAAATATATATATTTAAGGAGGCAATGGAAAAGCAGAAAAAAATGAAACTTTTGTTCAACTGCAACTCATTGTACCATCAATTATGTTCACTTGAATCCGTACAAAAACTTCAGGATATTAATATTGACATTTTCACTAAATTTTGTAAAAGTTATTTCCCGAGAAACATAATTGGTTATTTTTCTTGGAAAGCCAAACCACTGCTTTAATGATTTTTCACTAATGAAGGGTTTATCGTAGATGTGTGTTCCTCATAGTTAAGGCTTTTGATTTTTCGGTTTTAACCAATAAATACTGTTAAAACATTCCCGATACAATAAAGAAAAAAAATTAAACTGTTATTTTTCCAATAAAAACCGGAGTTATTCAGTTTACAATAAAGCCCCCATTTTCCCAAGTTACTGTGCTCGAGATTTAACTCTTTCCATAGAGGCACGTGCATAATAAATGTTTTTCACTACCCTAACTAATCTGACCTTATTTAACTTGATACGTTTTGAATGTTTAAGTTTTTAGTTACAATAAATGAAAAATATACTTGAAAATAAGAAATTTGTGGCTTACACTTGACATCATTTTTTGCCGTCGGTCGCCGATGAAACGTAAGCCTATACTTTGTACCTGTTATTATTCCCATAGAAGAAATTAGCGTAAAGAGTACAGACGGTACATTAGTATACGAATTACAGTATCACAAACAAATAATATGTATAAAATATCTTCATATTATCCATATAATCTTTATATTTATATTTTGTTCATTTTTCAGACACAAGACTTTTACAGAAGTTATCCTTGCCTCGACGTTGAAAATGCGAGGGATTTTCTACACAGGAAACATTTACGGAAACGTCGGAAGAGGGCGCTTTTTATGGGAGTGATGGCAATTTGTATTGTCTTGGTAGTAGGAATCACTGTCGCTGTGGTATTTACTTCCATACGACATAAACATTACAACTTCACTTAAAAAGTTACTGGTTTGTTATAATATTCATACATAGCCAAAATTTTGAAGGAAGTGAAACTTGTACGAACCGAAATCGTCAATATTGTTTTATTTTCTTTTTTAAATAGTTTAGCCAATACTACCAAAAACTAACCAACAGATGGCTATAGCAATTATTGCCCAAACACTGCATGAATTAACAGATACCGAAATTACATTTTTATAAATAAAAACTTTTAATGTAACGCATAAACTAGAATTTAGGAAATTTATCATCATAAAAATGTATCGTATAAGTTAGCGCTAGTAACCATCATCGGCTTGGATTGACAATGATAAATATTAAACATATATATATATATTAACATAGTGTAAGGTAAATATCTCGAAATCTCTGAACGGACAAGAGTGTAAGGTAAACCAAATTATCAACAGATGCCTAAACAACTGATTGCACAGGAGCTGTATGATAGACTTTTTTGTTGCATACGCCTATACCTATTTTCACGAGCATCATCAGGGTGTATCACATTTTATGTACATCATAAATTAATAAATCATGCTTGTTTTCCTAAATTGTGTTAGTAATTTTATGGTATCACTGTAGCAAGAATTTTGAAATGCAACTACAGCATATACAGATTGATGGGATTTGGCCTATGGCCTCGAAACTAATGCCCAACGCATTGGAAATTCGATAATTTGTAAATATCTACACATTTCGTCCACATACTCAGTCACTTAACTAACATCATAAACAAATTTTCTCAAAATTTATAATAAATATAAACACACACACACAGATGGAAAACTCCAGCAACTATGTGTTTACTGATTCATAAAATGAACACGTCAATTACTTAGCAACCAACTAAGTTCTGGTAAACGTTATAGATTTAATTACAATTTGTTGCAAATTAAAAAAAAAAGACATAGGGTTGTGTAATTACAATAATTGCGTATGTTTACTAAAGTGAAGTTATTTCATTTGGGTATACCGTAATGGTACTTATGGCCGTTTATATTATAGATTGATGAGTAAAGTTAATCCAAAGTAAAACTAAAAACAAATAAGGTTAGTAATAGAAAAAAAATTGTTGTTGAAATAAATGAATAATAAAAATCTAATTCTGATGTGTAACGAGTTAAATAAAATTGATAAAAATCGAGTTCACACCTAATCGGTTTTTGTTCAAGTAGCTGATAGTATAAATATCGTCTGGACCACTACCGTGTGCGTGTCGTATCTCGGCAGGTATGATGAGCACAGGTATGGGACGAAAGGCCTCATCGGCACTGGATATAACAGATATAGTGTGGCTGACATATTACATTCTTCTTTCACAAGTTCTTGTAACTTACATTAAAAAAAAACACGTTAAAACCCTAACATTTTCGACGGCTGGAGGTCTGTCTTCATCAAGAGAAAAGAAATTCGAAAGTTTTTACTGAATAACTAACCCATTTGAGACTCGCAATAGTTATATCTGTGCATTTACTAAATCTGTTGTTTAGGGGAATACTTAATGATAATATCCTGAATTCTGTACCTTAATTATAACTCAGAATTGTAAGTACAAAAAGTGAAGATCTTGTTGAGTCAAAGAATATGGAGCGAAAAAAAAAAAATGGCTTCCTAATTGTCACTACAAGATCAAGGTTGAAGACGTCTCAAACTGCTGTTGTAAACTTTAGGATTCTCTTGTTGGGCGAGTTATTTTTGGATTATTCTTGTATAAATTGAAAGTTCCACGTAATTACAAGAGACCTAACTTAACGAATAACACCAAACAGTCACTTACTTGCTAACTTATCTCTAACTTACGGTATTTCTCTATTATTTTCTAGAAAATACAAAATCAAACTCTACAGCGCTGAACAGCCTAACTCAATAATCAATCAACAATATCTAGCGCAGTGCTTCCCAACAGCCCCCAATATTGAAGCGTAGGGTTTATCTTAATTTTAATAACTTTTTCAGAGGTCTCTCTCTGCATACAACAGACTGAGAACTGCTCTAGCGGAACTCGTGTCTTTATCTCACTCAGATTTTAATAGATTTCCAGACATTGAGCTAAAGATATACACTCATCACACGAGGTCAAAACTGTCTAGCCAAGATTAATACAAACGTTTGATAAAAAAACAAACAAAAAATAAAACACTAACCTGCTAGTGTCTCCCTTTGAGTAAAATCTTGTAGTAACTAAAGTTAATAAAACCCACCAAGATCTCTCACTTGTACGAGGCCTGAGCTCATGTCCAAGGCTAAATTTATCTTTCTTTCTGGAGGATTTATAAATTACGATAACTGATTATTTGTAATTTGTACAATAAATAAAAAAATTTACGTTTAAACTATCGTAAATTGACCAATCAATACCAAGTTTTCTGACAGAAAACTAATAGATAAAAAAGTTTAATTAATGCAAGAGCTTTAGAGGCTGGGTCTCGAGACAACAGGTTTAGGCTGTCCCGGAAAAACAATATATAGGCTATAATTCATTATACAACATATAACAAATTTGCGTTTGACATTACGAATCATGATAGAGCGCAGTTGTTTTACCAACATCTTTTATTAAAGCTGTAACTACCTGATAAACGCAACCTTGCAGTCAAAGGGAACCCTATTCTAAATATCAATGACAAATGCATTTTAAAAGCTGTGTTCATCAGTTGTAATTCATACTACTACTATTTTCTAAATATAAGTACAATATTCAAAATGTAGAAAATTATATTGCCCCAATTCTTTTTTTGTTGTTGTTGTTCAGTATAAAACTTTCTTACTAATATATTATTTGCTATGGACTGAATGTTTTTTCATACAATCTCTAGCTGTGAAAGTTACATTTTATATGACTGTGTTAATAAATTCTTTACATTAATGATCAACTGTAAAATATATTAACATGGAGATTATTAGTGTTATAATATTACGTGAGAATATGTAATGTTTGTGAAGGATGAATTTGCACTTGTTCTAACACAAACTTACTAATTGATACTTAGAAGCTTTCTTTTTTTAGAAAAATTACCTAAACAATTCATCTAATGTATTTTTAAAAACTTTCTATTCTTTAAAATGTACTTATAATATTTAGGTTAGTTTGTTGCTAAATTTCTCCACAAAGCTTCTTGAGAGCTATCTGCACTAGTTGTCCCTAATTTTAGAGTGATAGACTAGAGGAAAGGCAACAAGGTAACACTATTTACCACCAATTCCTGCGGTACTGTATTCAAATAACTGGATTTACCATCATATTATTTTGCCCCCACAGCTGAAAGTGCAAGCATGTTCAGTGATTGGAATCGAACATGCAACATGGAGATTGCAAGTCAAGCACTCTAACCACAAAGACATGCCAGGCCGCAATAATATTTAGGGATAACTTTACGTCAGTTTGGTACAAACAATGACTGCAATACCTTTTTTTTATCATAATGCGTATATAAAGAGGCAATAAGCACATTTACCTAAAAACGTAGGTTGATTTTCTCAGTTTTACAGACAGGCAAGTCTCCAGAATCACCAAAATTTTGGGGTACATCCTTAGCCTTCAGAAGTCTTTACTTAATATTTGGAAATTTACACTATATAATTCTTGCAAACAAATATTAATAAATAAAACAATTACTTTGATAGAGATCTTTGATTTAAGGTACTGCAAATTGGTGCTCGAGCTTTGTAAATTAAGTCCCTAGAGTTTTAAATTGTATTTCTACCATGTAACAACAATAATATCGACAGAGAAAACGTTTTTAGTATAATAGATTAATATAAATTTCTAACCAACCTTATGCCTCATCTGTGTAAAATAAAATCAATGGAAGAATACAGCTAGATAGAACCTTGGGAAATGTTTATAGGAGTAACAGTGAATTAACAATAGTGATGTTTTGTATAAACTTCCAAACTTCAAGTAAGCAAAGCCTGTCATTTTTTTAAATAATGTTTTTGAGGGAGACTTATATCTAAAAGCCAAATTCTTCAGCACACACACTGTGCATATCCATTCTGCATAGAGAGTATGTTAAAATAAAAGTAAGTTAAAGACAATACATCATAAGTAATGGCTTCCAATATGAATTGATTAAGAATATTGTTTGTAGTAACAACAATTTATTTGTTTCAGTCTTGATTACAAGTACATGTAATACTTTTAGCAACTTATTAGCAACAGATTGAATTAAGACAATTAACTCAAGTCACAACTAGAAATATTTTCACATACATTTTTGTTAAATATATATATATATACACCCACCATAACAATTTATCGAAGTCCTGCTGTTAGTACAATACCCCATAAAATATACAATTTGTACAAGTCTCATAATCAGTGCAAAAAATAATCTTAAATTGTAATTAATACCTGATAATCACTTGAATAAACAGACCACTTCTCATCAAGATCAAAGAATTAAACCATACAGTTGACAACAGAAACTTACCCTTGAGAAATACAAGCACAATTACATAGTAACACTATAATAATAATTGATAATCCTAAACCAATAAAACAGAAGAATTATTTCTGTTCATTGATTTAAAACTTTGCCAGTGTATGTAAAACATTAATACACTAAACATACGGTTTAAAACAAAAAAACTGGAGAGGAAAAGCTGCGACAAAATAGTTCCAAGTTCCACTAAAAAGATGTGTTAATTTAGAAGGTGGTTTATTTAATAATGATATGAACCTAAGCCCTTCATCAGACTGTTTAAATATCACCCAATGAAGGGCTTAGGCTTTAAATGTTGAATAAATCACTTTCTAGATTTACATCTTTCTAGTGTTACCATTTTTTTTTCTAATGTATAATACTATTTATCAAAAAAACTTTAATGTTGTTCAGCTCTTTACTTTTCTTCAACACACTCATAACGTTCTTCACAGAAAAGTTTACATGTTTCTGGTTACTTAAACTGAACTAAACACCTACAAATTACAACTACACAAAATTATCAATCTTTGTAAGAAATGTTTCCATTTTACCTATTCTAAGATTGTGAAAGTATATATTTAAAGTTCTTGAAGTTAAGCTGGTTTAACTCTCAATAAATAGCAATCTAATCTTAATTAGAGAACCTGAAATTCTAATGATTAACAGTTTATTGTAGAAATGCATCAATACAAAGTTTTCTATTTAGGAAAAAAACAATTAATGCTATATGCTAAAAATATTAAAAACATTTCATTATGAAAAAAACCAAGGTTGCTGAATCAGTTTATGGGGAAATGACAAGTTTTCTAAATCAGTTTATGGGGAAATGACAAGTTTTCTAAATCAGTTTATGGGGAAATGACAAGTTTTCTAAATCAGTTTATGGGGAAATGACAAGTTTTCTAAATCAGTTTATGGGGAAACGACAAGGTTGCAAAATCAGTTTATGGGGAAATGACAAGTTTGCTAAATCCGTTTATGGGGAAAGGACAATGTTGATAAATCAGTTTATGGGGAAACGACAATGTTGATAAATCAGTTTATGGGGAAATAACAAAAAGAAGTGATCTTCTCAAGGAATTGTTGATAAAAAAATGTTAACTTTACAATTAAATTTTGAAATGAGTAAGAAAAATATAGAAATAATAATAATAAAAACATTAAATAAACAAAAAATCTTCCATTTTATTATAAAAAAGGTGACTGGTAGATATATTGCTACTTTAAACTTTTGAAAAATGCAACGTGAATATTTGTTACTTCAAAAGTTGTGCATATCATGAATTATAGTGATGATTATACACTTGTATTTAAATACATGAGTCCAGGGCCAGCTTTAGATATTTGGTTGACCTAGGCAAGGATTTAAAATGTGTCCCCAGTGTATCCCGTGTAACATTACCATATTATTACTTTATTCTTTACTTTCACTCATAAGTTACTATAATTGTTAAGCATTTGTAATAACACTACATGAACCAAAAATCACAACTGGTAAACTTTCACTTTGATAGGCGTATTTGTGTCATAGTTTTAAAATAACGCAGTTTCCACATTCTTTTTTTTAGCAGCAAAGGTGTGAAGTGTTTCTATAAAGTATAGTTTCATGAATCATTAGATCTTTGTTTTACATTTAAGTTGATACTCTTAATAAGTCTCTCTCTCTCTCAGGTTCCAAGTCAGTAATACAGGACTACCTATGTAAAACAAGTATGTGATAATTGAGTCTATAAAAAATAAAATTAACATAAAACTTTTCTAGGTTTTCCACCCAGACAATTGTCTAACTCAACTACTTAATAATGCCACGTCTGCATGCACCTAAACTGTAATGTAATAGTTTTGAAAATTCAAAGATTAATTTCAAAAATAAAATAAAACAAAGTACAACAGTTCATGTTACAAGATGCTGATGTGTAAACATTAAAATGCTCTAAAACTCTAAATTCATAAATGTCAGCTAAGTCTAATGAAAATAAAATATCAGTAGTGGCATAACTCATATCTTCTGGTAAGATCCATAAGAGTCAGCTAATTCAGAGTTATGCCACTCTTTGATATTTTATTTTGATCGTATCTTCTGGTAAGATCCATAAGTGTCAGCTAATTCTGATCAAAATAAAATATCAAAGAATGGTATAATTTATATCCACTGGTACACTGTTCAGAAGTTGTATGACAAGAGCTATGCCAAAGGTCAGTCCCGTACATGAGAATCTAAGTAACTATCTCGATAACGACGATACTGCAAGTCTAAATGCAAACCATGCTAAAAATAAAGCATATATATATATATATAAGGCTATTGTAACACAGACTGAAAGTAGCATACTGAAGAATTTATTTCAGTCATGAACATGTTCTACTTATCTGGGTAGAGAATGTCATCAGCAACAAAGTCATGCTCATCCATAGGAATACTGTGTAGTATCTGTTCCTGAAATGCTAAACCAATTAGGTAAGGACGACCATGAGGATCATGTAAGCATTGATCAATATAGACATCATAATAGCCCTGGCCAGTTCCAATACGACCACCTCGTTTGTCAAAGGCTAAACCAGGGATCACCATCAAATCTAGCCCACCTAAAGTAGAAGCCAAAAATAGCATATTTGTCAACAATTTCTGAAAAACATTTTCAAACTAATCTAATCAAGGAAATATATGATAGATCAAAAAAAGAACCTAACTTCTCACATTAAACAAGTGTGATATTGATTTCATTAAAAGGTATTTATTAATAATATTTTTATGCAAGGTACAAAGTGTGATGAATCAATACAATATGACACTGAATATGGGTCTTCACAGGCCCATTATGGATTTTGCTTGAAAATATTGAAAACTTATTTCAGATACATTTAGTTTTTAAAATAAAACTTTATATTAATTAAAAAAGTCAAATATATATAGAATACAGATCCAAATAAGTACTTATAATACACTTTTTACATTGCTTAATAACACAGTATCTAATACTAACTTCTGATCAAAGCAAGCTAACTACATGTTTCAGAATTAAAAATAAACACAGTAATGAATGTAGCTAATTTAATACAGTATTCTTACATATTTACTTATAATGATTAAATATATTTCCAGTCTTATTATGACTTCCCACGATTCCCTAAAAACGATCTGGTTTTGTCATGTCCTGCATTTTCAGGACTTAGGGGGCTCTAGGCAAATTTTGTAGAGGAGCCCTCAGAACTGATCTTCATAAATAAGTCAAACACAATTCAATTCTGTTTATTAACAACAGTTTCAGCAACCCACAAACACAAGCAGTGGGTAGAAAACATTCAAATTAATAATTATAATACTTACAATAAAAACATGTTAATGAAAAATTACAAAATAACAGGTTTATATGAAATGATTAAAATTGCTCTTTACATAGTGAAACAGCTGTAAACACTTTTTCCAAAGAGACATACAGTTTTTGATTTATTTTTCCCTTAATCAGAAAGCTCCTTCAATCAGGAAGATCCGGGGTAATTGTACCCTTTTGCTAACCCTTTAATTTAACTGTGCCCAATGTATAACTTGATGCAAGATTTACTTATCAGCCATTACACTGAACAATTTATGTGCTTCAGATTTCAGAATAGTTGTTATTATGCCAAACACTGCATATAGCTCAAAATTATTACACTTGCTTTTATTCATCTGCCCAAGTTCTGTGTGATTTTTATGTGAAATTTTGAGTGATATGCATTGCATAAGCTGATTTAACTCATTTGTAAAACAATACAGCTATTTTTATTTACAGAATACCAAGTAAAGGATTTGCAACTTTCAAGACAAACGTGAGAGTTAAATAATTGATCCAACCTTGTATTTTTAGTTTCCTTATCGTTATTCTTCATATCTCCACACATATGCTAACTACTTAATACTTTCAACAATAAATACATAAATGACAATAATTGGGGTAATATTTTCTCTTCTTTTTTTCAAATCAAATGGCACAATTTAGACAAGAAAAATGAAACATTGTTTGAAATTTGCTCCAAACAACATTTACAAGTTTCTTAATCTAATGTAAAAACATTACAAGTCCCAGATATTTGTCTTATTTTGCAATTTCATAAAAATGATGGAACTAATGAGGTTTCCAACAGCACCAGCTTAAATAATCCTGTGGTGAACTATCTTTACTTTAACCCTATATTCATGGGTGTGCATGCCATGACTTTTTATAGAGTGCTATTCAACAAGATATATATTTGATGTAATTATTATCAAATACTCATTTTACCCTACACTACTGATTTAGTGCCACCTTGTGGTACAGAAGAGTAAATATCACATAAAATATAAAGAAATACTTAAAAACTGTAGATATGTATATCAGATATTCTGGAGGTAATTTAAAAAAAAGGAAACTGAAAAAATAAATACTACAAAATTTCAAAATGCAAAGAGGGCACTAAATAAAACATCCAAACATAAGCATCAAGAAGTGATAGTTAAGTAGAATATCACAGAGGGAATCACATGAGTCACATGTGTGTGGCACATCTATTGGTGGAGGTTTGTTGCATGCGTGAATCAGTTAAACTTTGTGAACCAAAGTGTACACAGAAGTGAAAGGCTTGTGGCATGCTAAAAAAATTTGGCAAATAGAAGGCAGCATTGAATGAGAGTAGCTATGTATGTGAGCAGTAGTAAGGTACCTTGTCAGATATATCAAAGGTTAACCAGACAGTATCAAAAAAAGGTATTTTCTACTGAACAAGCAAACAGCAGTTCTCTCCCAATTAATGTACTAGTATCAATATCATGGAACAGAGAAGATGTAGAAGTCTACATGTTGAATACTTACAAATGCATGTGATATTACACTAAAAACTTCTGAATTGTTACTATATAATAAATAGATAAATAACACACAATGTTAAAATCAATAAACAATTAAAAACATTTTTCACCTCTTCCAATCACTAACAGACCAACTACATGCATTTCATAAGCTCTATAAATGTTACAGTGATTCAATATTAAACTTTATACCTTATATCTGTATTAATGATGTCATTTAGATAAGTAAGGTATTATGATCAATTGAAAGTAGAGAAGGTAGAATTTTCTAATCACATTCTAGATTGGCTAGAAAATACTGAGCATAAACACCATTCATTTTTTGTTACAGCTAGAAACATTTGCATCAATAAAAAGGACTGTTGTTTTAAAAGTTACATTGTGAGGATGAATGAGGGGGAAATGTGACATCATCACTTAGTATTTTAGAAACAAACAGACGAAGCTTGGTGTTAAAAAAAGGACCAACATAACAAAGCAGATATATAAAAACATATACAAATAAGTTTTAACATCTTGAAAATTCTAAAAGTACACAACAATAATATAAACAATTGTAGCACAAAAACCATCTGTAATTGTGGAACATTACAATTATTTACACATAATTATAATACAAAGTTTACACCCTCTAATGTATTATTCAAACACTTCAACACACTGAACACCTGAACCTTCACTGTAAATACACACAACTGGTCATCACAGACTGTATAACGTATAGATGTCTGCAGAAAGTAATATTACAAAAATATATATATGCACATAAATCACACAAATAGAAGCCCAACATGCAACTGTTTTTTATGTGATTTAAGATGAAAAGAAGTTCATTTTACCTCTAAAGTTTTTATATGGTAATAAAATTTTTGAGACATGGAGCTAAGCCTTAAAGAAATGTTTTGTTACATCTCAATGAATTTCATGTCTTCAGATGAGAAATAGTGGAATTTGATAATATATTAATCATCAGGTTCATTAACTGATTACATTGAACTAATCAATTATTCTCATATGAGGATTAAATAGTTGGAATACTTGTAAGCACTAAGTATGATTAGTTGATTATTTTTGTGAGTCATGATGCTAATTGACTAAGCTAACCAACTTTGAATTAATTGAAAATAATGAGTAACATAATGGCAATATTTCAATTACTTGTACTATGGGAATAATAAAAACAGTAATAATTTGAAATACTAATTCCGATTAGTTGATTAGTTTTCAAAACATTAATTGATTTGACTGTAATTTTCTAATGGATTACTTTATTTGACACTAATCAACATAACTAATGCTTGAATATTTGTGTTAAATGCCAAACCTCATTCATTTCCAATTCTGAAAAAGTTTTTAATTTCACTGATTAAAATAAGATAAAGTGTGTTCTCAAATATTTACCACCTGAAAATAGTTTTTGTCAACAAAAATTCAACTTTAGAATAATAATACTAACTAAACAAAGGCTGCTCTAGTACCTGGGGTTACCTCAGTAGTTACACAGCTCTTTATTTAATGATAAACCTTTAATTCTAACATGTTTCAAGATACAAAAGCATCATGTATGCATAATTAATCATATAAAATTAACAGTGTGTTTTCTATTTGTTAGGCATTTAAGATTTCCTGGCTCAAAGGTTTTTTTTAATGCAAAATAACAAGCAACAAGAGAAGTAGCTTTTCTACACTGCTGGGAGGTGATAATTATTGTTTTCCATCTAAAATTTAATTTCATTTAAATTACCAAAATCTTCAGCATTTGCTGAGTTTTCAAAAGTATATTATTAAAACTAACAATTCTGAAATATTTTCACAGGCTCATATGTTGAATGACTCTTTTGTGAAGCTGTTAAAAGTTTTCACCAGTGAATCCAACTCAACAGTCCACCAATCAATGACTACACACTGTCAGACGACTCTTTGCCACTATCACTGTAAATTACATGTTGATTATTGTTTCAGTTCTGAACTAATTTTAACTATAGTGTAACTTGTAATACAATTAAAATCATTTGTACTATTACACATCTGGTATATATGTATAGATTTTCTTAGTACTTCTAAAACTATAGTTTGTAAACTATCTTTTGAGATTATTGATTACTGCTGAACCAAACAGACACATTAAGCTATAGTAGTAGGAAAGTATTAGTTGGACGGTGTTATGCAAAAGTGACCTAACACACAAAATCTTAAAAACATTTTTTTTATTATCTTTTCCAAGCTAATAAGTGTTAGTCTTTCTTGTGAAAAATTACCTAAGCTCAATCCCTTTAGATTGCTCTATACATAAGAAAGTTCCAACCCACACTCATGATATTAAAGATACCAGTTCTGTAAAATGACCTATGCGGGTTAGATGATTTTTGCAAAGCAACTTTCAAAATGGTAACGGTAACATGTTGAATGTTCTATAAAAGTTTACATGTGCATGTAGATAATTCTTTAACTTTTTTCATCTCAGTTCCATCTCATTTTGTCATCGTTCCCAACAAAAGGGTGTCCACAGTGCTCTTAGCACCTTTTTATATTCAGAGCACTTTTGTGCATTTGAAAAATTACACTTTGAAATATCCTTAACCCTAACACAACGTTCAACTGATTTGGGTTTAGCAAATTCCACAAAAGTACTCATTTCAGAGTAAGGTCATGAAAATGGCTCAGAAAAAGTGCAAAATACAGTATAGTTTTGCCTTCTGACCATTGAATAACACTTCACAGAGCAAAGTTTTAACATTAGTTGCTACATGTAATCATCATTCGCTGTATCGGATTTTTAGGTCCAATTTTGTTGGACCTGGGAGGGTCAGGTATTCCTTCCACCTCTTCCTCCCCCATAACAGTAGATTTGTGCATTTTATTTTTATTGCCAGAGAAAGCAATTGTCAACAGAAAGTAGATACAGAGGGTAAAAATGTTAACTGGCTGATGACACGTGAGATACAACTCAGGAAAGGTGAGAGCAGTGTAGTCTTCATGAGGACCTCTTTGTTCAAAATCGTGACCCAGAAGCTCAACATTACATGTTGTACTAGGGAGCACCCCAGCTGTCCTTTCACAAAAGTCTTGCCTTTGCTATGGTCTGAGAGGAAAAAGTGACAGTGGCAAAGCATATGATTTGAGAGACCTAATGTGTCTCATCCCAGATGACTGCAAGCCATTCTACCACTCCATCCTTCAAGATGAGAATATCATTGACAGCTTTGATGGAGAGCTGAATTTTCTTATTGAGGACAACTAACACTCTTTACCTCAAGTGCTACAACAATAAGCACTAATGATTAGAATGAAAATACTTGTTTTCACAGTCGTTTTTTTTAATAGGTCTATAATAACTTGTTTAAAATTTGATTTGAATATTATTACATTTCTTGATAGCTTTTGAAAAGTACCAGTTTTGGGAAATCTGTTTCAGACAAAAATGACCTAAGACACTAACTGTCATTTTTTGTATCATAATGAACAGTTTATTGTCATGTTAGTGTTCTGTTCTAACACATAATAGTGATCTCCATTGATTAAAATCAAAATGAACATCTGGTATTCATCACTGATTTTTTGTAGGAAAGTAAAACATTTTGGTCATTTACTCAAAACTACGAATTGTGGGTTAGATCACTTTTGCATAATGCTGTCCAGTTGTACTAACAGTGGGCATTAACAAGTAATATAATAGTCTTAATTGTGGGAGTAAATATAATAATGTAAACATTATTAAACACTAGGCTTTTGTGCTGAGCGAGGATTATTTTGCACAAATGTTAGTGCTAGGCTGTGTTTTGCCTTACTAAAGTAGTTAAAAATGTACATTTTTTTCTTCATTCTGTTTGTGTCAGAAATGTAAACTTAAAAAATCAACATTATTTGTGTTATAACAAAAAAGCCTTTGAAACACATTGCTAAAATTTGCTCAAAAAAAAAATTAACCACTTGGCACTCTGGATCTCAAATATATTTACATTTACATACGATGTATGCTTATGTAATACATATACTACATTTTATAATTTTCTATTCCTTTAGAAATACTGAAAACAAATATTTTTAATTACATAATTTTCAATCCAATTAAAAGAATAAACTGGTAAAACAAATGAAACTAGTGAGTGCTGGGAGTTTTCTTTCATTCTGAGCTATAGAACACCAGTGTATGACATTTTTGTTACATCTTCTATGTTACTGTCTTTCTTGATCAGATATTATATTTTGTGTGAAGAAACACAGATTTAATTCTGCACAGACTTATGACAAATACATTTGTCAAAATAAGCATAAATACTGAAATACCAAAAGTTAAAGTAACAAGGGTCATAGCTTAATACAATTACATATCTTAAACAGATGTTTTAATGTAAACATTTATGAACAGACTTACCTGCAACAAGAGCATCATCTCGAATGCTATCCTCAACTTTCTGGCCATTGCTCCAGTTCATCAGAGAAAGCTTGGGCAAGTCATCTGTAGAGTGAAGTTTGACCATATACATATGTTGGCTGTTTGGACTTCAAAAACAGAAAAGAATCATTGTTTTATGACATTGATAAAGTGTACAGGTATAAATTAGAAATAAACAGTATGTCATTTCCATTACACTAGATAAATCTTTCTACAATTAACTGCATACTATGAATTATTAAGTTTTAGATGTCTCTATAGTTAATATCAGTGATAACCCCTTGGTTTATTTACAAAATTTTATAAAAATAAGTAACATTCAATGTGCATTTTACTATCACAAATTTATATTTTTTTGAAATTAGAGAAATGCTACAAAATATTCTAAACAAAATTTGATAAACTTTAATTTCCAGTTTAATTTACTTACTTATGCATAGTTCATATTTCTAACAACAGGCTTGTTGCACTTTGAATTTCATTCAGCATGGGAGTCTCAATCTCATTTTCTTGGTAAGTAGGCTCTCTTTGATGCCAAGTTGTTATTCATTAACTGCTATTCTTAATATTTAAAAATTTTTTGGAAGTCCTATTTTTTCACATACTTTCAAGGCATGAAACATGATCGAACTACTAAGGTTTTTAGCATCAGTGTTCTTTTATGCATTCATAGCCTTGCATACAGGGCAGTGGTATTTTTTAAGTAACCTTTGATCTGTTCATTGTATTAATCTTGTCTTTGAATGTTTAAAGTTTTATTACATAAAAAATTTTAGCTATTCAGTATACACAGCCTGTTTTTAAAAAGTCAAAAACATAGAAATATATTGATTAAAAACAGTTTACCCACCACATTCATAAATGAGGTGAAAAAATATTTTTTTATGAGTGCTAACACTCCTATGAAACAGCCTATGGAAGAACCTGAGAAAACAATTTATATAACTTTTTCCTTCACAAGTACGCATAGACTGAAAATCAGACAACAAATTGTGCTAATGAAAATAGATCTTCCTGCAAATCAAACTTAGGATTTTATTCAAACCAGCTATAAGGATGAAAAAAATTTACTTTCAAGAACAAGTCACTTATAAATACCAGTGCCCAGAGTGCAAGGACATCTATCATGCTTTGAAATCACATAGAAAAAAAAATGACTTCCAAAAATTTCAGCAGATCAGGAACAGTAAATGATGAACAACTACTCAGTGTCAAAGAAAGCTTACTTATCAAGAAAATGAGAGCCAGGCAAATCAAAATGAAAGTGCAACAAGCCTAGTATTAGAAATATTAACTTTAAAGTTGAATAATACATGTAGGCCTTATGTAATGCATTAGTTAATGATTATATATCTTGTTAGGCCTAGTTTGTCTTTTATTAACTGAAATATTTTTAAATGTTTTTATCAATCACATCACATATAGTTGGTTTACAATTCAAAATAAATACTGAAAACACGATTCTGGGACATTAAAATTTGACAAAAACCAAGATAAAATTTTGTATTCAATGAGGATGCATCAGGTAAAAATGACGAGAATATCAGATGATGTTGATTTTTGGATCATGTTCACATCCATTAGTAATTCTTAGTATGTTTCTCATACACTTATGATATTTAATTACACTGATGTCCAACATAAAAAACAAAAGTTTCTGCAAAAATTCATGCTCGAGATTGTTAAGCAAATAATAAATTGAACATAGACAGCAAAGGAAAAACAAGTTCACAAGTGAGCAGCTAAAACAAAATTTTTATCAACAATAACTGTGTAATAAATAAACAACACACAACATTAAAATTGATACACAATTAAAAACCTTTCTAAAATGCTGACCATGTGTTTCAACATTTACCAGGTTATCTTCAGGAGTGAACTTGCAAGATATAAGTATCATATTTATTTCTTCGTAGCTAAAAATCTACTAGAAAGTTTAAATTATTGCTAAGTAAGTATAAGCATTGCAAAACAAATGAGAGAGTGTTCTAAGTTGATTAATGGTTGATTTAATTATGTATGCAAAGATGTAATATACGTAATGTCAGGGAATGGTCTCAATAAGAATATGGTGGTGTATTATGTCAGGGAATGGTCTCAATGGTGACTGTAGGCATATTGGAAAACAGACATCAGTATACATAAAAGATTTAAAACCAGCATAACTGAAACTTACTCGTATTTAGGAACAAAACATTCTTTTCCCATATTCAAAATCTGTTCCAGGATTCCATGTGTTTGAACCTCATGTTCAGTACTCAAGTACAAAGAAATTCTATGGCTGTTCTTGAAACGCTCATAGTTCAACAACTGTGAGAAAATAAACAAAAAAATCACTTTCAACTTTGAATACTGGGACCAAATAAGTTTTATTTTTTAAACCAAAGGTCTAATTGTCATATAACAAAGCAAGTATAAATCTTAGGGCAGAATACTAACTTTTTCAGACACAATTTACAGTAAATACCCAAAAGAAAATGGAACAAAAAGAATTATATATGTCTTTAGTAACTAATCCTTATTACTACATTTATATATTTTCTGTTTTTTTTTACTAAAGATATAACTTAAATAACGACCTTGCAACCTTCATATTATTTTGTATTACCTTATTCATGCAGAAATTATCTGTGTGATGTTCACGTATATTGTATGTTTTCTACCTGCTTTAGGGATATATATATATATTTAACATTTTTTAGTTACTTAGTTTCATGCTTTAATGGTGACAACACATGGTTCAGAAAGTCATTAAGATTGCCTTGCTTTAGTCATTTTGTTTCTTTGTTCTTTATAGCCTATTCTGTAATAATGAATTAGGATACACTGTAACTTGAAAAAATATTCCCTTCCCAAACAAATCCTGTAGTCAGTTAAAGGTAACAAAAATAACTCATTAATTTTGAGCACACATTTGTTTGCTTTTCTTTCTGTTCTGGCTTTGATGTTTTTAGTGTTTGGTTTAATGTATGGAATGGAACTAGATGGACCAATAGGTCTCTTGTTGTCCTTTAATGTTACATTATATACATAAATACGTATAATTTAAGGACAACGACAACAGGTAACCTTCCATCCACTATACTAAACTTTAAAATAAAAACAAAACACTGAAAGCCAGCCTTTATCATTCAAATATTTATTAAGCCTTCCCTTAAACTCTTATATGAACTGCATCTACCACATCTGAAGACAACCTATTCCAAAAGCTAACCACCCCGTCAGAAACTTAAAGCTGTCTTAGGTGTAGATGATTTGCTACCCTGCCAAAATTTATATTTGTGTCCACTAGTCGCACTATTCTCAACATTAAGTACAAAAAAAAAGATGCATCAACACTATCAGTTCCCTTAACAATCTTAAACACCTCAATCAAACTCGTTTTATTTTTTCATGAGAAAACAATTTAACAAACATTAAGTTATCTTCATATGACAACGTCTAAATTTAAGGTATCATCGTAGTAGCCTTCCTCTGAACCTTTTCCAACAATATGGTGTCCTTTCTAAGGTAAGTAGCCCAAGACTTAAAAAAAAAAAAGAGTACTCCAAATGTGGGCTAACCAATGACCTATACAATGACATTATATCCTCTTTAAACTTGTATTCAATATTTCTATAGATAACAACTTAAAATTATATTTGCCTTGCCACTTGCAGCAGCACACTGCTTGGATGATTTAACAGATTGATCAACCACAACATCAAGATCCTTTTCTTCCATAACACTGTTAAGGTTATTCCCATCAAAATTATACTTATAATTCTAATTACGATATCCCAAGTGCATCCTCCTCCTCATAGCCAGCAATACCCACAACTTTGATATCATCAGCAAATTTAAGTAATTTATTGACCATTCTTTCATCTGTGTCACTGATATAAATCAAAAGTTCCTGTTTTTGACTTTATATGCAAGTTATTTTTAATGTTACTTTAAATTTCACAGTTACTTTCATTACCTTATACAGTGTTAGGATTTTTTTCCATCTCTTTACTTTGACTGGGTAAACAGTGTAAAGAAATATAAAAAATGCTGATATCAGATAATGATATTTTGCTACTTCTAAAGCTTTTGTTTTTCTGTGAAGTTAATGTTTTTTTTCCTGGTCATTATGGTTAAGAGTAATGGAAGAATACATGCAGAGTTCATTAAGTTTAACATGTGAAGACTCAGTGTATATGAATAGAGTACAACGTAAAATATTACTACAACTCATTCATTAGAGGAAAGTCTGCTTTGGGAAAGATCACGGGATTTAAAAAATGAAGAAACAGATTACCAAAAGAAGCCATAAAATTAAAAGGTTTAACAAAAAAAAAGTCAAAGTTAGTTATGGAAGGGAAGAAAAGAAAATGTAGAAATTAAGAGACTTTCTGCACACTGGGATTCAAAAAATAGGTACAAGTATATTATCAAAGGAACTCATACAATTTCTAAGATTAGAATTCTCACTGGATGTTACAGTTCACAATATTGTTGACAGAATAATTTGATGTGTGGATCTAAGGAAAAAAAAGTTTTTTTTGTAGGCATTATTCAAACTAATAATATTGGTAATGGCAAATCTGAAGTTATAAAATTTAAGCAGCTTATGAGAGGTTGTAGGGTTAGAAATAATTGCTCTTTAAACAGTTATTTTTTGAGTGTAGACAAGTACAATGTGCAAGCATCAAGTGATCAATCATTGAAATCTGTGACTTCATTTTCATCGAAAATTATTTTAAGACATAAAAGTCCTAATTCACTGCAATTGTCACTTAAATGATACTTCTACTGAGTGCCATTAGATCTGGTCAATTGTTGGAATTTGGTAATCAATTAATCATCAGGCTCATTAATCGATTCCATTCAACTAGTTCATTATTCACACATGATTTGGATAGTTGGAATAATCAAAAATAGTAATAATAAGAAACTTTAATTCTGATTATTTGCATGAGTTGTGACACTAATTTACCTATCTGAATAATCTTTAATTAATCAAAAATAATAATGAGAAATCATAATGGCAATATTTTGATTACTTGGATAGTTGAAATAATTAAATACAGTAATATTTGGAAACACTCATTTTTGATTAGTAGATTATTTTGTGATATTAATAGATTAAATCATAATTTTGATTAATTGTTTATTTTGCATGACACTAATTGATGTAACCACTTCTCATGGGAACCAATTATATCGATTAATCTACACAAAACTTACACAGCTTAAAATATTACATTTAATTCACAAGTCTGTATTTCCTACTGTATTGAACCACTATTCGAACTATATAGGAAGAATGTTTGAGCCCCTAATAATTTTGAGCATTTAAAATCAGTCACCTGTCATTCTTCTATATTCCAAAGAAAACAAAACCAAAACATTAGCCTAGCTCTCCTTGTACTTAAAACAAGACTTTGAATTCTTTCCAACATGCTGATATAACTTCTTTATTAAAGAAAACAAAACTAGCTACAATTTTCATCCATTTTAGTCAAAGACAATATGGTTATTAAAACCTTGTACACAACTTGATGAGGATTCAGTCTAGGTATTGTGTAGGGTTTTGGTTCCTTTGCTATTGAAATGGCTGTGATATGATTTTAGCTATTAGTATATATATATATATATATTATTTTAAAACTTTCTTCGATATGTAAATACAATTTTTTTAAAGTTGTTGTTCGGAGGTGACATTAGTGGGCCAATTATCCTTATGTCATCTTTTGTTTTTTCTACATGTACAATCTTTGTTCAAAATTCTTAATCCAAAACCATTTTTCTCCTTTCTCTACAACAGCAATGCTTCTCTCAAAATTTTATACATCCATATCGAAAGCACAAATCTCTACACATCTCAGTACTAAAACTAATTTCCCACCTCATGCTTTTATGGTTCACTCATCCAGCATTCTACTTCTAGTAACTGCTCTTTTCAAGGGAGATGATAAAATTTGTTCTAGTAATTATAGACCCATTAGTCTTACATCAGTTGTGGGAAAAGTTTTGGAAAGTCTATTAAAAGATGCTTTGCAAAGTCATTTAACAAAGTTTAGAATTTTATTGTATAGTCAACATGGCTTTACAAAGGAAAAAATCTTGCCTTAAAAATCTTTTAACATTCTTTGAAAAGATTACTGCTTATGTAGATAAGGTTTAAGGGTGTAGATTTGGTGGATTTGGATTTTCAGAAAGCATTTGACAAGGTGCCATATAAAAGGTTTGTGAAAAAAAAATTAGCTGTATAGGTGTGGGAGATAAGTTGGATAAAATTGGATAGAAGAGTGGCTGGATGGAAGAAAGCAGAGTTGTAACAAATGGAGTTCTGTCATAAATGGCAGAGGGGTTTTAATTATAGTAAATGGAAGATAATGCATGTGGGTAATCATAATTTTAATTATAAGTATAATTTGGATGGGAATAACCTTAATAGTGTTATGAAGAAAAGGGATCTTGGTGTAATAGCTGATCAGTCTCTAAAGGCATCCAAGAAGTGTGCTGTTGCTAGTGGTAGGGCAAATAGGATTTTAGGTTGTATCTTTAAAAATATTGAATACAAGTCTAAAGAGGTTATATTTTCATTGTATAGGTCATTAATTAGGCCACATTTGGAATATTGTGCTCAGTCTTGAGCTCCTTACCTTAGGAAAGACATTGAATTGTTGGAAAGGGTTCAAACAAGGGTTACTAGAATGGTGCCTGAGATGAACGGGTTGTCATACAACGAGAAGCTGAAATCTCTAAATTATTTTCTCTAGAAAAAAGAAGAGTTAAGGGGGATCTGATTGAGGTGTTTAAGATTGTAAAGGGAATTGATAGCTTTGATACATCATCTTTTTATATTTTAACAATGAGAATAGTAGGACTAGTGACCACAAATATAAATTTTTGCAAGGTAGGAGTCATTTTCAGCTAAGTTTCATTTTTCTAGCAGTGTGGTTGGCCTTTCAAATGGGTTGCCTTCAGCTGTTGTAGAGGCAGTAAATTTAAGTGAGTTTAAGAAAAAGCTTGATAAGTATACAAATGAAAAGGGCTGGCTTCAAGATTATTTATTTTATTTATTTATTTTTTAATCATTTTAATTTAGTTTAAGAGGCTGGAACACCTGAGATGGACCAACAGGTCCCATGTTGTCTCAAAACGATATGTTATGTTAAAATAACATCTTATAATATTTATTAAGTCATCATTAACCCAGCAACTCCTTCACTAAATGTAGACTACTCTTCTAAAGTTCTTTGGCACTAAAGTAAAAAAAAAATTAAGACAACAAAACAAAAATGAAATATTAGTTCTCTTTCCACACCCTTTTTCATAACTAACACAAGTTGCATAACTATACTTCCACTACCATTAGAGGAAACTGGAATCATGCAATACCTAGCTCTGAGGCAAACTACAAATACTAATAGCAATACTCATTACTAGTAATAGTACTATCCAACACCACGAGTTTATTATTCGAAATTCTAATACATATATTCCGGTATGCTTCTATTTTTATTAGTCCAAAACTCGGAATATAAAGGTTGCTGTTTACATGATTTAATGTAAACTCTAACTTGAGTGTAAGTTGTAACTGCCCATGCTACTGTTACTGTTAGATTTGTTAACTTTTCCAACGTAGGCCAAAAACTACAGCGCTGGTATGCCAACCAAAAACCGTGAAATCGCAAGCAATTTTATTACTTAATAACAACGTTAAAAATCACAAACCTTTTCTGTGATAAGCTTTGTCTGTCTTATTTTCTCGTCTTTAGACATAGAGAGAAGTTTCTTTTTAACTTCAACTCTTAAAGCTTCTTTAGCTGCTCGAAGCGCTGTAGAAGCAGCAGAATTCATTGAGAAAATATTATAAGACAACGATAAAGTATAATTGTTTCGATTAGTCAAACGTTTACTATCTGATTCTAACTATTTACTCTATGTGTATAAATTGCTATGGGAGTTACGTAAATAACCCGGTGAAGTATGCTTCTTAATTAATTTTATTTTCCATCTATCGGCGTAGTCCTCAACAAACTCAAGTGGTACATTTACTACAGCTTCCCTCTAGCCTACTTTAAATATTACAATTCAAGGCAAAATTATCCCACTCTAATATATTTTATTTTTGCTATAATTTATGATTATTTTTAACCTTTTCATATACTTTTTGTTAAGATTAAGGTATGCTAATCGATTATTTAACGATTTTTCAAATACCTCCGTTTTTTTAATTATCATATATATATATTGTTACGTCTCCGTTCGTTAGTTAATTTTCCGTAAATTCGTTCCGACGAAACTTTAGCGACACAAGTCCTTTCTTAAATAAAAATAGTTTATTCTTTCCGAATACAACTTTACGATACACTTAATTTCAACAGTCGCTCTATAACAAACGCTCACGTCTCATGTGGCCAACAATATTTTATCAGCATACATTCAATTACTCATTACCTCTGTTGTCCCGTCACGTTGTGAACGTCTTATATATACAAGACTAACACATATCTAGTAAATGCTAGGGCATTCTTGAAGGAACAGGATATTTCTAGAAACAGGTAGCGTGATACTAGTCACGTGACCTCGCTGACGCAACAATATATATATATATATAGAGAGAGAGAGAGAGTTATAAGCTAGCTTTGGTTGGTTGTTGTTAAGCGCATAGCTACACAATGGGCTATCTGTGCTCTGCCCACCACAGGTAATGAAACCCAATTTTTAGCGCCGTAAGCCTGCACACTTACTGGGGCTTTTATGCTCGTTTTCGGAAATCCCAGTTGATTTGGAGTTTTTTAAACGTTGATACGTGTAAAATTACTTCCAGATTTAAATTTTTGGGCCAATTTACCTTTAAAAATGGGCTTCTAGATATTTGAAAAAACCTCCTTGTCTGACACGATAAAAATAGATGGTTTGATTAATAATCATGATTTTAAGAATGTTTTTTTAAGTTAAGCAAAAGCTACACAATATCTATCTGTGTTCTGCCCACAACTGGTATCAAAACTCGGTATCTAGCGTTGTAAGTCCTCAGACATGACGCTGTGCCACATTAAGCGATTAAATGTTATATATTTGTTAAGTAAATATTTAAAAATGGTGATTATGATACTACCCCCCCCCCCAAAAAAAAGTTATGAGTATACCAACAACTTTCAAATACAAATTATCATTCACTAAGATTTCATTAAATCATATTTTTCCTATTCCTTTGCACTTCACTACTGATTTAAATTGTGCAACGGGACATTTGATCATTTCACCAAAGTTTTAGAAGTAATATACTGTTAAGTATAGTTTCCAAACTTTATTTTTTAATACGTTTGTGGTATTCTCAGGTAAAACTGATATATCTCAAGAGAGAATAAAATAAATTCGCAGAATAACAAGAGATTCGACCAAAATATGTATCATAAAGTGATTCTAAAATCTCTGAATAGAGTTGTGAAAGAAAAATACTGAACAAAAATGTGAAATACAGTGAAAGCAATCTTTATTTTAAACCAAAAAACAGTTTGTATATTTATTCAGCACGTCAGACAGTCGTTTAACTGGTGTGGTATTTTCAAGTAAACTGATTTGCCTTAGTAGTAAATTAAGTAAGTCTACTATATACAGTGACATAGGTCACCAGCTTATGCCAGCTGTCTGAACTGCAAATGAAACAGCTCCAGCTGTCAGACTTTGTTTATCAATAGCACTTCCAATCTCTCTCAATTAGCCTCGGAACCTCAAACAGAGCTAGGGTTGTGTTACTTTGGCCAGAAAGTCCTGTAAAGATTACCCCATGTAATTTTGAGCTCGCCATAAACTACATCCCAATGACCCTCAGTTGCCTATACTTCCATTAAACTGAGTTCGATCCTCAGGAGAAGAACTCAATCAGCAATTCTGGATGCACCAGATGTCAACAATTCTACTTCTTGAGACTGCCACTCTAGTGAGATAGGTGTCATGGACCTTCACATTATTGATAAAAGTCTTACTTCCAGGACAGGACTGATTCTAGACCTTACAGCTCTGTCATATAACGATCTCCCTTCAGTGGTTGACTTTTTTATTTGGTTGTAAGTCCATCCAGTCATAGAAAATGCCATATTTCCTCAAGAAGAAGCATTTTAAAATTTAATAACACAAGAGTAGAAGTAAAGGGCAATATACACACGCTAGAAGAAAAAAGAAAACTCTGCAAAGATATTTTTGTTTGTTTTGAATTTCGCGCAAAGCTACACGAGGGCTATCTACGCTAGCCGTCCCTAATTTAGCAGTGTAAGACTAGAGGGAAGGCAGCTAGTCATCACCACCCACCGCCAACTCTTGGGCTACTCTTTTACCAATGAATAGTGGGATTGACCGTCACATTATAACGCTTCCACGGCTGAAAGGGCGAGCATGTTTGGTGTGACGGGTATTCGAACCTGCGACTCTCAGATTGCGAGTCGAGCGCCCTAACCATCTGGCCATGCTGGGCGTGCAAAGATATATCCTATGGTCATGGAACCAAAAGTTTCTTCTTTCTATCAACTCTATGGTATCTTCTGGTAAAACTTATTTACCCCTAGATTGACTAAGATAGGTGCACAGAATAACAGAAAATTCCACAGCGATATATATATTACCTAGTAATTCTGAATTATCTGAACCTAAAGAAATTTGTTAAAGAAACAGACTGGGCACAAATGTGAAACACAGTGAAAACAATCTATATTTTAATTTAAACAACGGTGTGTGCATATTTATTCAGGACAATAGACGGTTGCTTTTACTGGAGAGTTAAAAGCTAAGCGTTGTTCACTCTACAAGAGCTTCTTTTAAATTATCTTCTCCTTAGGCTTGACCTAGTCTGAGAAAGCATCACATTGTGTACTTAAAACCATAACTTAATTCTTTCACATGATGATTAGCGCTGTTCACGTGATTGTTAGTCATTCCAATTTATCGTACGAGAGTTTATAGACTCTAGACATCATCTGACTGACCAGTGGAAACGGCCATTGTCTAATTATATATAGTTAGGTTTACGTTGCAGAAACCTTTTTTTATGGGAAGACAAAGATACTATCTTATTTGAAATGCACAGAACAACAGGTAGCTATAGTGAAAATAACTTACCCGCCTTCTTAATCAAGAAACAGGGTAGCTTGGATCCTCCAATAATTTTTTGATGAGGAATCCAATGTATTTCGTCTTCCCAATATTTCAATAACATTTTGTGTTTCAAAAAGAGAGAAAGAAAGGCTAATTGTGAAGTCTATAAAGTAGTATAGGCCATTTCACTTGATGGCCATCAGTATACAAATAAAGCATTGTTGCAAAATAGCCACAGTCTGAACACACAAATAATACTGTTGCGTCAGCGAGGTCACGTGACTAGTGTCACGCCACGTTTCTAGAACTATCCTGTTCCTTCGTGAATGCTCTAGCATTTACTAGATATATGTTAGACTGGTATACAT